CCCATATGTGTGCTGGTTCGAATCCCAGCTGCTCCACTTCTGATCCAGCTTTCTGCTATGGTCTGGGAAAGTAGAAGATGGCCCAAGTCCTTGGGCCCCTGCACCTGCATGGGAAACTCAGAAGAAGCTCCTGGTTTCAGATTGGCCCAGCTCCAGCCATTGTGGCCATCTGGGGAGTGAACCAGCAGATGGAAGATCTCTCGCTCTCTCTCCCTGCCCCACCTCTGCCTCTCTGTAGGTCTGCCTTTCAAATAAATAAATAAATCTTTAAAATAAACTTATTTGAAAGGTAGTTAGGTAGAGGCAGAGAGAGGGAGAGGTCTTCCACTTGCTGGTTCACTCCCCAGTGGCCACAAGGGCTGGAGGTGTGCTGATCTGAAGCCAGGAGCTTCTTCCCAGGTGTCCAACTCGGGCCATCTTCTACTGCTTTCCCAGGCCGGAATCGGAAGTGGAGCGGTTGGGACTCCGAGTGGTGCGCATATCGGATATTGGCACTGCAGGCGGTGGCTTTACCCCGCTACACCACAGCGTTGGTATATTTAGTTCTTTTTAGTTTCATACTAAGATATGACTTATTTATGTTTACAGTATTAGAGCACTCTGAATTTGTCTATATAGTTCATTACTCTGGCTGAGTTTTCTACCTTCTGTATTTTCTTAAGTGTCTGTAGTTTGAAGAAATCACTTTAACATTCCTTGTAAGGCAGGTCTGGGGGAGGGGGAGAGGAGTGATCAATTCCCTTGGGTTTTCTTTGCTAATGCCCTTATCATTCCTTCTAACCATCTCCCCACCCCCCTCCAAAATAAAGCTTGGCTGGGTGTGGTAGTGTTGGCTGGCCCGCTCACCAGGACGGTACGCTTGCTGGTAAGAAGTGTGCAGTCATGGAGTTGGGAACACTTAAAGTGCTTCTTTTCTCTTGAAGCTTGGGAAATCCTCTCTGGAGAGGGCTGATTACGTCTTGTGATCAACACGGTTTAAACCTGACTGGTGACCTGAGGCTTTCCTGTATCTTGATAATTGTATCATTTCTTGTTTATTTATTTGAAAGACCTACAGAGAGGCAGAGAGGGGGAGAGAGGGGTCTTCTATTGCTGGTTCACTCCCCAGATGGCCACAATGGCTGGAGCTGAGCCAATCTGAAGCCAGGAACTGGGAGCCAGGAGCTTCTTCCTGGTCTCCCACACGGGTACAGGGGCCCAAGGACTCGGGCCATCTTCTACTGCTTTCCCAGGCCATACCAGAGAGCTGGATCGGAAGGGGAGCAGCCAGGACCAGAACTGGTGCCCATATGGGATGCTGGCACTTCAGGCCAGGGCTTTAACCCGCTGCACCACAGCACCAGCCCAAGACTAGTTGCTTTCCTCAGTCTGTGTAATCTGGCTTCATTGATAGCTTTGTTCTCTATGAAGTGCTAAAAGGTCTGCTTGTTTTCAGAACCTATGTGAACTTTTTGCTATGTTAGCACTAGATGGAGCCCTATGTCAAGGTTTGCTGGAAGTCCACTGTTGACAGTCCTGTAGACCCTGTAGAGCTGAGCTCAACTGGTATGTTGTTTAGAATAAACATGGTTAGTGTCTTAAAAGGGATAGACAATTCCTACAAGCCTCTTCTTGGTGCTGGAGTGACCACCAACACCACAATGCTAGATCACACCTAGAGCCTACAGCTTGCCAATACCAGCACAGTGCAGGGGTTGGATCATAGCCTACTCAGTTTGTCTGCTTTAGTGATGCATTCACAGCCCAGGGCCACTGCAACCCATCACAGGTGACGCTGCCTGGGTTATAAGTCCAACTGGGGCTGTGGGACCCCACTTGGCATCTGGGAAGGTGCAAAGGCTGCCCACACGCACTGTCCTGGGGATAAGGAACATTAGAATCTCTCCAGTGTTGGGTATTAGCAGCCCTGAGTCTCAAAACCCAGTGCGGTGGTTGGATAGAAGCAGTCCTTTTGATACCAAAGCTAGGTCAATCCTGGAGGCCTGTATTAGGCGGGCGGTCATTTGGAACAAGTCTTCCACCAGAGCGCACACTTCTGATGCCAGGGCAACTCAGAAGCACCCTGGTCTGCAAGCCCTAGCCTGGGAAGTAGAGGATTTTTGGCGTTATTTAGGTGCTGTGCATCACAGGTGGTGGGCCCAGCTCTGAGCTCTATGGCAAGGTCCTAAATTCTCTTTCCTGCCTTAATCCCCAGCAGCTGGAGTCCTGCCAGAGGTTGACAAGGGGTGGTGGATGCATTCCCTGGGCACCTGGAAAACCGAAGTCCAGAGACTCAGCCTATGTGGGGTAGGGCCGTTGTTTCTGTTTCAGCACGGTCGTCTGGTCCTGAATTTCAGGTTTAAGGATTTAAACTTAACTCTTACCCTCCAAACTGGGAGGTGAGGCAGCTCCCTGACCTACTTGGATATGGCAGACGGGCGACACGGCCACTCTTTCCTGTCTTCCCGAGTCTTACAGTAAAACCAGGCACTGGTGGTCTCCCGCCGGGCTTCCAAAGCTCTCGTGAAGGTGACTTGCTATGTGAACAGCTGGCTCAGTGCGCCTGAGGGAGATGATCACCAGAGCAGCTGAGCCACCATCTTCTGCCTCCCCTTGGTCTTTCCAAGGGAATCCTAGTAAGGAACTTTTGAATTGCCTTCCCCATTACCCACTCATGGAGGAACTTACCGCATACCTACCTGCAGTGTAGACAACTGGCTGAAAAAATTCAATCTTGAATAATGCAGAAATGTAACACTGAGGAGTGTCTCACTCTTAGGGCCAGGGCCCCGCATGAACTGGTAGGCTGACAATGGGGCCTGCGCTGGCACTGGGGCTCCAGCAACCCCACGGTGTTCCCGTTGGATTCAGGTGATCCACTGTGGGTCCCTTGATGACTGCCAATACTGGCAACTGAAATCATCAGTCTTGTTAGAGAATCAAAGCGAGCCTATTCAGAAGTCAAACTGAGGGTTTAAGCTGGGAAAACCATTGCTTGGGTAGATGCCCCTCCAACTTCTCTTTGGTTGCAAGTTTTTTTTTTTTTTTTTTTTTTAAGATTTATTTAAAAGTTAGAGGCAGAGACAAGAAAGGTCTTCCACCCCTTTGTTCACTCCCCAGACGGCCGCAATAGCCAGAGCTGTGCCAACCCGAAGCCAGGACCCACGGTTCCCTTACGTGGGTGCAGGGGCCTAAGGACTTAGACCATCTTCCACTGCTCTCCCAGGCCATAGCAGAGAGCTGGATTGGAAGAGGAGCAGCCTCTTCTAGGACCAGCTAGAACTGGTGCCCATATGAAATGCCAGCACTGCAGGCCAGGGCTTTAACCTGCTGTGCCAAAGTGCCGGCCCCATGTTTCATATTTTTCATACAGAATGAATACATGCAGTGAGTCAAATTTAAACAAGACAGATCTGTGTTGCAGTTATTTTTAATATTTATTTGAAAGTCAGTTACAGAAAGGAAGACAGAGAGATACCTTCCATCTTGGGGTTTACTCCCCAGATGACCACACTAGCCAGGGCTGGGTCGGGAGCCTCTTCCAGGTCTCCCATGTGGGTGGCAGGAGCCCAAGTATTCGGACCATCTTCCATTGCTTTTCCCAGGCCACAGCAGGGAGCTGGATCAGAAGTGGAGCAGCTAGGCCATGAACCAGCGCCCACATGGAATGCCAGTGTCACAGGGTGGGTGGTTGGGGGGTTTTCTTGTGGTTATTCTTAGAATGTATCAAAGGAGGCTACATTTAGTTATGGTTTAGTCTTGGTTATTTATTTCAGGGATATACTACATCCCTGTGCTGATTTTTCATTATTCTTAGGTTTACATTTAGGGTCATTATAACTCCCTCCATCCCATTTATTCCTTCTTAGCACAAAGATGTTTCTTGGGTTACGAGGTCAGAGGCTGCTGAAAGATCCTGGTGAATGTGCTTGATATATGTAACTGACCTTCATGGTTTCTTCACAGCCGGATGTGACCTGGCTGACTTAGGCCTATGCAGTCACCATTCTACTCTCAAAGCTGCAGTGCCATGACAAAAAGGTACAAACATCTCTCCTGTTAAGCAATGCTGATAGATCACTATAGAGGAAATACAGCTACATATATATTTTCTGAAAGAAAACACTTTTGTATTCCAATCAGAAAAAAAGATAGAGCATGCCTAATTGTATTCCTTTGCCCCCAAATCCTCTTATAAATACCTCAACAATCAGTTGATCTGAATCAACCAGATAACCCTCTGCAATCCTACTGTAAGAGCACCGATGTCCAGTGCATCTGCTATGTTGCCAATTTTTCTTACATTTCAGATAGTACAATTATACATCTTATGAGATGTATAATTTCAAAATGGCTACTGTTGAAAGCATAATTTCCACACTATTTACGTAAATGGCATTTTGTTGAAAATAACAGGACAAACTACAATTTCCCAGAATATCTCATGACAAAACCAACTGACAACATTTTTTAGACGTGAAAAGACTAAGTTCTCCCTCTAAAAACACTTTGCCACAAATAGTTGGGCAGTGTGAAGTAGTAAGAAAACACAAATACAAATAAGCAACTGTGTACAAAATAATTTATTCAAGCATTTTCTAGGTTGGCATTATTTTACAGTGAGGTTTTTTCCCTTTTAACACTTTTGAGTCTAAACAGATAAGGGTGAAGGGAATCCAATTAGAATATTTGCCTAAATAAAATCTCCCTTTTTGAATTATATTTGCCTATAAGGGGTGCATTAACATTATAGACATATTTACAGTTTTAAAACTTAAGCAGTAACTCCATTGTTTTCTGTACAAGATCCAACAAAAAGCTAACTGTCCTTAAATCCTCAATACTGTTCAACAACATCATGTCTTACTAGTCAAAGTAATGACAATTTAAATTCTCATCTTGCTAAGATATAAAAATGCATTTCACATAGCTATAAGTTAATAAAGCTTCATTTTAATTTGTATTCTGCTCTTTTTATGCACCCTTGAAGCAGACCTCTGAGTATAAACTGCTTGCTAACACTCAAAGCAACTTGTGAACAAGAAATATGCAAAAAATTCACCAGTGACTTTCCACGGTTAAGAAGGGAAACCAAATTTTCACATTCTCAATCTACGTAAAACTGGAGTACCCTTGTGTCACTGTCATGGATGCTACAAAGGAAATGGTGAGTCATGAAAAATTAGGTGAAAAAGGGGAGATTTAAATTTCAGTATCTGCCAAGAGCAACTTCATACTGACTTTAACAGTTAACACCTTGAAAGAAATAAACAGTAACAAAACAGCAAGACAAGGGATCAAAACACACATCCTGAAACCAGAGTCTAAAGAAAAAAAATACACCAGGATTCTACATAACTTAGCCTATAAGAATCACGATGCTGATAATTTGAGTTTTAAGAAAAACTATACAAGTACAAACAGGTAATCTTAACAGACATTTATGTAAAGTGGCAAAGTCAAAGAATAAAATGAGCTTACAGAATACTCCATTTAAAAATTCAACCCAAACATCGCATTTCACATCTATATTAAAAATGTACCCTGGCAAGGACACCCTGATCTGTCCACGTCGATCTTCCGTGAGACTTCACATCTCATTTGCCAACACCTCAGAGTTCACAGTGTGCTTCAGTGCCGCAGCAGGACTGTCCGCTTTGTTCACAGCAGGCAGGAAAGCAGGTGTGAAAGGAAGGAGGTTATGACAGGCCACCTTGTACTCTTCATATTGGGAACTACAGTTCCCAAAGCTGCCATCAAGCAGTGCCTCGGAAACCTTTATTAAAGTCTAAAACAAGGGGAAAATACAAGTGACTTTTTTTTAATGTAACAAAAAAGCCCTGCCATAGGTAACAAGAACTGGCAAGGATGTGGAGAAAAGGGAACCCTGTGGGTGAGAATATGAATTAACACAGCCATTAAAGAAAATAGTACACAGGTTCCATAAAATATTAAAAATAGAACTACCTGTAACCCAGCAATCCTATCTGGTATGTAGCCAAAGGAAATGAAATCGGTATTGGAGAGATGACTGCATGGAATGTTTACTGTGGCATCATTTCACAACTAGCCAGGAAATGGAATCAATTTAAGTATCCATCTGCTGATGAACGGATCAAGAACATGTAGTATGTATACCATGGAATACTATTCAGCCTTTAAAAAGGATGAAATGCTGCCATTATGTTAAATGACATAAGCCAGGTACAGAAAGACAAGTTCTGAATGATCTCACTCATTTGTGGAATCTAAAAATGCTCAGCTCATACAAGTTGAGAGTAAAACAGTGGTTACCTAAGGCTAGGAAGTTGAGGGGGAGAAGAGGGACATGGTTGGTCAACAAATACTAAGAAAAAAATCGAGACCACAAAGAGATAGATAAGCTTACCCTGATTGGAACAGTATATAATGTATACCTGTATAGGTACATAACAGCCCATAGATACATTAGAATTTTGGCTTGTGAATTCAACAAAAAAAAAAATGTTTTGCAGAGTTGATTTATAAGTAGTAAAATTTTAATACTTGACAAGCTCTCCAACTGATGGAAAACAGAAGTGTTCCTGATGAGTAACAACAGCTCACGTTCATTGAGTGCTTACTATTCCCCAGGTACTTCATGCTAACTCTGATAAAGGCAGTATTTTCCTTACATTTAAAATAAAGGAGACAACTGTCTCAGGTGACATGGCTTGTGATGGGTGGAGCTATGATTTGTATCTGGGCATACCTCTAGGGGCCACTTAGGAATCTGTGAGCTAAAGATACATGTTTTGTTCCACCACTCAGCATCTAGTTAGCCTGTGAAAATCTTACCTTTACATTTTTATCTTTTATAGTTTCATCCAGTCTAGTGGCTATAGCAACTGCTTTCTCTTGCCTTGACTTGTCCAGGAAATACATCATTTTGGCACCTGAAATATCAGGACATTTCAAAGTGAGTAAACTCTTACATTTTATCTGATTTATACTGACTGGTGACTTAAAATATGGTTTGAAGAGTTTTATCTGTGGTGAGTTAGTGCTGGCTCTCACCAGTTCTCAGAAGCCCTCTGTGACATCTCTCCCCAATTTCCTATTCAGTGAAAAATAAATGAACCTTACTTTATTTCTCCTGCAAATTATATGGCTTATATTCTATATTCATTTTTATTGGATTTTTATTAATTTATAAGAGTATATTAGCTTTTTATCAGTTACATATCTGAAATTATTTCTTCCCACTTGGACTTTCTTTATAATACTTTATTTTCATATTGTGAAAATTCTTTTCTCAGAATGCATTTTCCACAAATACAAAAGAGAAATCTTTTCTTCTACCTAGCCTCTAATCTTGAAGTGTTTTTTTGTTGTTTTGTTTTGTTTTTACTAGAAAGAAAAATTAGAGTAATAGTAAGAAAGACAGATCTTCCATCTGTGGGGAGCAGCCCGGACTGGACTGAGTTACTGGAATTAAGACTTATTCTATGCATCTGCTCTCCCACAATATGGCGCTGGGAGAGAAGAAAACAGCTTCTACACAGCTGCCTCCAGTTCAACCAATAAACTGTAGGACTTGCTCCTGATTGGAGGAGAGCAGCGTGCTCGGCGTGTGGGCGGCCGAGTTGGGATTGGCGGAGGAGGACTATAAAGGAGGAGAGAGACGGCATGCACCAGGAACATCTAAGGGGAACGCCTGTGCAGCCCCCGAGAGAGCCGGCCAGCGGTGTGCTGCTCCCCTGCGGAAGTGGGGAATGTGGCAGGGGGAACTGCCCTTCCACGGAGGTGGAAGGGATAGTAGCCAACCCGGGAAGAACCAGCAGCAAACCCGGGGAGGGCCGAGCAGACGAAAGAACAGCGCAGGGTCCTGTGTCGTTCCTCCACGAAGAGGGGGAGCGACATAATGGTGCCGTGGCTCGGATATGAAGCCTAGGCAGGGCTTGGTGTCGTTCCTCCACGAAGAGGGGGAGCGACATAATGGTGCCGTGACTCGGATATGAAGCCTAGGCAGGGTTTAGTGTTGCTCCTCCACGAAGAGGGGGAGCGACACCATCTACTGGTTTACACTCCAAATGGTCACAATGAAACCAGGAGACTATAACTCCATCCAGGCCTCCCACTATAAGTTGGCAAGGGGCCCAAGCACTTGGGCCATCTTCTGCTTTCCCAGGCCATTAGCATGGAGCTGAATCAGAAGTGGAGCCCATAGGGGATGCTGGTGATGCAGGCAGCAGCTTAATCCATCGTGCCACAACACCACCACTAGAAGAGAAATTCTTATCTGTTTTTACTACCAAGAAGTAACTTTTCAGAAGGATTTTTTTCCATAGACACAAGAACTGAGAAGTTTCCTTTTAATAAGAAAGCTTAAGGTAGCATAACTGTAAAATATATGGCTTAAAAGCCTGCCTAAGTATGGTCCAGCCTTCATTTTGTCCCCAACTCCCTTTTCACTTATACCATACTGTCATTTTACACATTTGTATAAACTGCCTAAAACCTTTCCTGTAGCAAGGCAGTATATAAATAAATAAGTCCTCAAGGCAGAAAATACATAAAGCAGTAACAACACAAGAAAAAATAAATCACTAAGAACCACAACAGCCAAAGGCTACATTAAAGCTAAACATATACTTCTTCCATTCAGCCTTTCACCCCTGTAGGTTCTGACACAGCTGAGATACTGTGGGTACAAGTTTGGATATGTAGTAGAAAAGTATTTATCCCAATCCTACAAACACTTCGAAGAAACACCATCTTAAATAATGACCTGGTATTCCATCCCACGAGCCAACCTCCATTTTATCTATTATGACACATACAGTTAACCTGAACTCCCTCTTTCCCCCAAACTTACACACAGCATTTGAGTATCTTTGCACATAAAGCTCTTTTTTTGCTTCAGAATAGTTATTTTCAAATTATTTATAGAAACTTCCATGTGAGGTGAAAGTCTTGCTAAGAACAAGACAAACCCCTCTCCTAATTGGCTGGGCCAATTTACAATCACAGCCACAAAGTACAAGTGTGCCATATCCTGTGCACATTTCACTCTTTTTTACACACTTTTGGGGGGTGTATTTGGTACAGCAATTAAGTTGCTCTTTGGGACTCCCCATCCAAGTACAGGGTTCAAGTCTTCACTCTAATTTTAAACCAGCTTCCTGCTAATGGCACCCTGGGAGGTAGCAGGTGATAGCTCAAGTACTAGGGTCCCTGCCTCCATGTGGGAGACCTGGATTGGGTATATGCTGCCTGGCCATACCCTGCCTATTGAGGGTATTTATAGAGAGAACAAGTAGATGGGAACTATCTCTCTCAAATTTAATTTAAAAAAAATGGTACTGTGTTCATTTCTTTTACTCTTATAACATCTTTCCAAGTGTTTTCCACCACAATCTTTTCCTATAAACATTTTAACCCCTGGGAGGAATTACAAACCTGAAAGTAGATGCTGAAGAGAGGTAGAATTATGTTTGAGAAAATCTTCATTAAAACTTTCCAAATCCCTGTTGACAAATATTTTCTGCATTTCTTGAGACAGAACTTTGCTCACAATGTCTGGAAGATTACTATGATTCGATACTGCAAAAATAAAAATCAGTGTTTTTGAGCCCTTTGAAAAAAAATAATTAGAAAACTTAGTATTTATTACTCTGCTTGATATATTCCACACAGTAAAAATACTGCTTTGGAATATAAACACATCTTCATTTAAATAATATAAACATTTCCTTTAACTTTGTTGCAAAATGGAAAATAGCCCTATTTGCTTCTCTATAAACATTACCTTTTTTAATACTCACCAGATTTAGAAAATCTAATTAAACACTCATGTAACCATGGGTTATTGCTGTTGATAGCAAAAGCACGTTTGACAGACTGCAGCATCAGTAAGAACTTTCCTGTGTCAGAAAAATGTAACAGCTTCAATATGAATTTTCTTTGTCAATTAAATTCAGTGAACTTTTCTATAATACTAGTAGGCAAAATTCAAAACTGACAAATAATTATCAAAGAACAACTTGTGGTTTCCAAAGAAAAGCTTAAAAATCATCAAGAACTTCTTTGGGTAAATAATTCTTAAACTGGATTTTATCTTAACATGTAATACATAATTCTGTGCAACATTTCAGCACATGCACACATCATAAACTGACCAAATCAGACAATTTGTATTTCCATTTCCTTTTAGGTTTGAAGGACTGTTAGTCCTTCGCACAGTATACACCACATTATTATTGTGAACCAATTATTCCACTGTGCTGTGTCAGCAAAGTTTTGAGGAACAAGGACAAGAAGATCAAGAGTCTTTGTGCAAAGCTGAAGTGGAACTCTAAGAAATGAAACAGATCTAACTGACAAAGATTACACTGAGTACAGTCACCAATATAATTAAGGAGTAAAAAAAACTATTACCTTTTCTAAAATATATTTCAAATGCTAATAGATGAGTGTTAATGTTATCGGCAACAAGATTCTTAAGAGGTATAAGGAACTTGATAGCTTCTTCTAATGGGTTTTCTACCTATTTTGGAACAAAGGACAATTATTACATTTACACAGCTATGCAAGTCAAATTTCCCCTACAGTTTTGGATGGTTTTCTTCATATCCATATAAGAAAACATTTAAAAAAAACTATCTTCTACAAATATTTAAAGTACAGAGTCAAATTTTCAAAAGGCTCCATTTTTTAATTACAAAATCAAGGTACTTTTTATTAATATTCCACACACTTAAGAAAATGATATACCAAGTACAGACAGTCCTTTATATACCACAAATATTGCAAGGAAGAAAATGGTATCATATAATTGGGAAAAAGTAATGACTGATTCAAAGTCCTTATACTGGATTTACAGTGACTGTAAGGCAAAAAGCTAAATATTTCACTAAATCTACTAAATTTATCAGCAATGGAGATGAACTATTGCTGTGTAGCTACATTATCTAATAAGACATAAAATTATTCCATCTATTGCTGCAATAATGTATTACTAAAAAGTTACTGGCTTAAAGCAAAGCAAACTTACATTGCAGTTCAGTCTGTCTCACTGGCTTAAACGTCAAGGTGTCAGCAAAGTTGCCATTTTGAAGGTGTTGGGGAGAATGATCCCAACCTTTCCTAGCTTCTAAAAGCTAGAGGACTCCTTGGCTTGAGGTCCCTTCCCCCAACTCCAAAGCGAGCAGCAGCAGGGGAGTGCTTCTCCTAACACCCTAACCATTTCTGGCTTCCCTCAGAAGCCCCTTCTCCTTGCACGGGGTAACCTGGAAAGTCCAGGCTAATCTACCAACTTTGGGGTCAGCTATTACAATCTTAACTCCCCTTTGCTAGGTAAGGTCTCACAATCACAGGTTCTAGGCATTAGAGCCCAAAAAGCGTTAGAGAACCATTACTCTGCCAACCACAATAATTCTATATATAATTTGCATTAACCAAAATGTACATATATCTCTCAAAGACAACTGATATGGACCCTGAAATATTGCAAAATGGCTTCTCATGCTTTTTACCAAATAACAAAGACGGTAAATTCATCTCACCCTTTCTAACTTCTCAGGTATAAGTTCCTCCTTAAGACCACTGGCTTCTTCTTCATCATCATCTCTTTTTTTCTTTTGAATTTTTTGTTGACGTTCCTTTTCCGAATGCTTTCTCTCTTCTTCTAATTTAGCTTTTTTCTGAGCTCGTCTCTGTTTGCTAAGCATTTTCTTCAATTCTTTGGCTGACAGGTTTTCTATAAACATCCAAACAAAAATTCTATTTGAGTCAATGTTTGCATTTTTCCTCACATTCTAGTACAGCTTTTTTGAGAAAGGAGGGGCTGCTACATGGAAGTTTTCAGAAAGTGCATACTCATGAATAGCCCAAAATCTGGCCCACAGAAAAGTAACGGTAAATGCTGCATGAACTATAAAATGAACCAATTCTAGCCAGTTCTGCCTCCTAGTTAATGTCTAACCTTTTAGTCTCAAGTCCTAAACTGTGTAAAAGTGGGCTGATATCACCAACTATCCTCTGAGAATATTTCAAGGGTAAGTGAAATGCATTTAAACACACTTGCAATCTTTAAATGCTATATAAATGTTAGAATGAAAGCTTGAAAATCTGCCTCCATGCTAGTAATTCTAATATTCCTAGATACTAACATTCTAGGAAATAAAAAGCTGTACAAACAGTCTTACTGGTATTCTTATCATAAATAAAGCAGGTACTAGAAGTTTTAAAAACATATATTTTCCTTGTGCTCAAAGCTACTTTCATTTACAATTTAAGAAAAAAGAAACAAGATCATAGGCATTTCTATTTGTTCTGAACCACTCCATTAAAGTGACTAAGAAGCATCAGCCCGCAGAGCTTCAGTTTCCTTTGACTCTTCCCCCACTTGTCAGTAATTGATACCTTTATATCCAGGTGACAAGGCACTTTTCTAGGCATTGTTTGTTAATGACACTCTATAATTTAGTGTTCTTTTCAAATCTTTTTAAGTCAGTTACCTGAATTTATTTCTTGTTGTTTGCTTTCATTGGTTAAAGGGTTATCATACAATTTCAAGTATATTTCAATCGCTGATCTAGCAGCCTTGAAATAAAAAGCATGTCTTCTGAGTATATCTTCTAACCTCAAAAGGTCAACATAGGCACGGAGGGTCATCTTTCTCATGCAGTATGTATGGAAGTCAAATTGATCATCGGTTATCTCAAAAAAATGCTTAAAAACAAAACCACAGAATTACCCCTTACATTTGTTGTCAGTCTACCTTTTGAAAGAAAACCATAAAAAAAGCCCCCCAACAAAACAGTGTAAATAATGTCACATTTTCACTTGGTTGCTCTCTCTCCTTTTTATTAACAGTATCATGTTGGAGTTTTTGCTACAATACATCCCCATTCCCTATAAATCAAGTTTTGTGATGATATTCAACAAGTCAAATGATCAGGTTGTTTTTTAAACTGGACATTCTTGTATGTGATGTTTTAATTTTAATCAGTGATTTCTCCTCCATAGTCACTAAATTCAGAATGGCAGAGTTAAACATAAGTCTGGATGAAGACTAAACATGTAGGTACACACTAAATGTTTGCAAGTAAAAACTGTTCTACCCCACTCAGCTCTTGGTGGGAAAGTCTTATCTTCTCTATCCCCACTGCCTGGCACAAGAACCTAAGAAGTGGCAGACATTCAACAGCCACAGTATTTTGCCAGCTTGAGGGATAAGCTGCTCAGGAGACATGTGACCCTGAGTGAGCCTTTTCATCTCCCACAGTTATATAGTGAGGAATGAAACTCTACACAGCTTGTTTCTTAAGGCTGACTCTCAGCAGTAAACTGCTAAGCCAGTGCACAGCACTATGGTTTTCTCCCTTCTCATTAAGCTCCCATTAATTGTCTACATTCCATTTTAGCCCAATTCACTCATCTGGATTCTTCCTAAAGAGACAGCTGCAGAGCTTTCATCCAATTATTAAAGGATAGATGGCCCATAAAAGGTTATGAACTTCTGGTATTTTACATGGAAAGGAGAACATCAATGCCTTACTCCTCAAAAATTTTTGTTCTTTTAAAGTCGGAGTTAGAGAGATCTTCCATTTACTGGTTCACTTCCCAGATGGCCACAACAGCCCCGGGCTTGGCCAGACCTGAAGCCAGGAGCTTCTTCCAGATCTCCCATGTGGGTGGCAGGGTCCCAAACACTTGGGCCATCTTCCACATTCTCCCAGGTACAGCTGGGACTTAAACAGCACCCTTATGGGATGCTGGTGGCAGGTGGTGGCTTTAGTCAATATGACACAATGCCAGTCCCACCAAGAACAGTTATACACTATTTTCTCTCCTCTATGCATTTCTACCTCTGATTCTGTTTCCCTACATTAGCATCTCTAAAATCACATGGAAAAACTAATGATTCTACCCATCAACAGAGATAAGTTTCCCTTGCACTTCACAGTCCTGGGTGTCTACTAAGTCCTCACAGTGAGGACACATCAGTAATCATCCACAGCCATTTGACAGTTTTAGCCATCATGGTAATTAGAAACACACTATACACAGAACATTCCCTAGACTTTAAGATTTTTAAGAATAAAAGCACACAATGTGGAGGGCAAGAAATTGAAAAAATATTTTATATTAGTTTATACTGTAACTAAAAAAATGCTTTAATGTTCTATTCAAGTACTGAATCCTTCCCACCAATAAAATAAGCAATTCATATATAACAAACTTGGCTTCATTTTCAAAAAGTGAAAAGGTTATTATGTCAAAGTTGCTGGTTTTCCTTAAATGCAAATCAAGTAACATGTAGCATCACATCTTAATACTCAATACAAATGACCAAGAAAAAAATAGTGCTAATAGTCATGGCCACAATGATACAAAAACATCTAAGAGAGTTTAGGATGATTTCTAGGTTGAGAAACATAAAAAGGCAGATGACAAGCTTCAAGAGATATTCCTAGCAGCATCGGTAAACAGATTTTAAGTCAAACCTTGAAAGGAACCATTTGGAACCAAAATTCTTGATGCTGCCTCTTTTATCAGTAACAGCCCATAGGCTGCCTCTCTCCAGTTAATGTCTTCCATATACAGGGTGACCAACTTATCCCAGTATGCTGAGGCTTTCCCAGTTTTTCCAATGAAAGCACTGAGTCTCAGGAACCTACCCTGACAGAGGCAAACCTGAGCAGTTAATCACCCTATAATAAGCTAAAAGTGATAACACAGAATATGGCTAGACTAAGAAAAAGTAGGAAACAGCAGCTATGGCTTATTAATCCTTTTGCTTTTCAAGAAATGGTGTATTGCAGAATACTACTCTTGGGTAGGTCTTTCTAACCTTTTGCTTTGAAATTACAGATAAAGTGGATGTTGCAAAAGTAGTATACAGAGGTCCTATTTATTCTTCCCTCAGTTTCCCCCCAAGGTTCCAGCATATAAACTACAGGACATGGCCAGCGCCACGGCTTACTTGGCTAATCCTCCGCCTGCGACGCTGGCACCCCGGGTTCTAGTCCCGGTTGCCCCTCTTCTGGGCCAGCTCTCTGCTGTGGCCCGGGAGCACAGTGGAGGATGGCCCAAGTGCTTGGGCCCTGCACCCGCATGGGAGACCAGGAGGAAGCACCTGGCTTTGGGTCGGCGCAGCGCGCTGGCCGTAGCGGCCATCTGGGGGGTGAACCAATGGAAAGGAAGACCTTTCTCTCTCTGATTGTCTAACTCTGCCTGTCAAAAAAAAAAAAAAAACACTACAGGATAGTATCAAAACCAAGAAACTGCAATTGGTACAATATGTATCTACAGTTCTATGTAGTTTTATCATGTGTGGATTCACATAACTGCTACCAAAATCAAGATACAGAACTATCATTACAAAGTTCTCTCTTACACGATCATGGATTGATTTTTTTTGTCTCCAAATTC